CTTGGTCACACAAACAATATCAATCTCCTCTGAGAAAAATAGCTGCAGCAGCGAGCTCTCACTCAGAGGGGGAAGAAACCGTAGCGCAGGCTTCCGAGCCTCAAGAGAGAGCGCTGGATCTAGGGAGTGCAGGCGGAGAAAGGGCGAGCCGTCTCCAACCCATCCGCTAGATCCACGTGCGATCCCCGCGATCTGAATCGCTGCCATGCCTCAGCAATAGCGGGACCGAACCGCGCACTCGCAAGCACGGTCACACTCCTCGGAGCGTGCACGGCGGGAGCGGAGCGTTCAGTGGGTAGAAGCACAATCAGCCCCTTATTTCCGAGAGCTGACTGCGCAAGCTCCGCACTCCAGTAAATGTTGCTCATAATAATATAGTCATTATGCTTGTGCGACTGTAAAACAGCTCTGCTCCACAGTAAAGCTGCTCATTATAATATTTGGCATAATATGCTTGTGTAACTGATGCAAAGCTCCCTCGAGAGCTGACTCTGTGTGTTTTGCTCCCAAGCAGACAACACACAAACTGTGTGTATCCCCACCCAAAATGTAGCGCGGGCAGGGACGAACACACAGCCTGAGATGCTGCCCGCTCTCGCTGTATGTTTGTCTACACTCGTATTGGTAAAATAAAGAGTGATAATGGACAGACAACACCAAATAAGACTGACACACACAGAGCGCTTGCTGAATGACAGAAAGCTGACGCCGGTTTCACAGCACATGCATTTATGCTTCCTGGTCGCTACGTCATCCCGCCCGTGACATCTCACCCATCCATTGGACTGATTACACATTCTGATTATACTCTGATTCAGAGCGTGGTCACGCTTGGAGGCGTTCCCATAGCATTTCGACGCAGCTCGAGTTCCTGAAAGGGAACTGCATGTAAGGCCTTCACATTCCTTCATAATTTATTTAAATTTTAACCTAAAATCCTGGTGTTGATTAAAAAAAAATGTTTCAACAAACCATGAACATGACATCTGAGGAATGGTTTTTACCGTAGTTGATATTCTGTGACTACTTTCTGTTGATTTCTCAGTTTTGAAAATGCTTCTGAGGTGGCAGTAACACAAACTATAATGATCCTTCACAGCTTTGCATTCAGCATGCCAACTGTAAGGATTTAGTTTTGTCAATCCATCGATAGCCCTAAAATGAAATGGTAAGCAGTTTGGAGAAGTGTATTTTGTTTTTGGAAACACATGCTCTTTATTAGCACAAGTGTTTTTATTTATTTATTTTTTACATCTATTCCTTTTCTCTGCTTTCTTAGATCACAATGCAGCCTTTATTTGTGTATCATAGTGACAGAAGAGAAGCATTTGAAAAGGGCTGGTTTAAATTCCCTAGAGCTCTTTTGCATGTGGTAATGATTAACTTTTTATTCTTGATTTTGTTTTGCAATGCTTACAAGAAAATATGTTCTGTGTGTATTTTTTTTTTTCATTCCAACTGTATTTTCTTGGAGTTTTAATAGAAGGCATATGGAGCCATTGATACTGATAGCGCATGGATATATCGTAGGTATAATTTTTTCAAGTCAAATATGAATACTCATATAAATGAAATACTCACAGCCATAAAAAACAAACACAATCACATCAGTATCTTAGTATCATGGCTTTTTTTCTTTGCATTGAATTTGGCTTTATGAATTAAATTGCTTTGCCTTTCATTTTGGCTATAATAATGTCACTGGCTGTCCTAGGTATAAATATGAAAAAGCAAATAAACTGGTGTTGGCATATTAGAGTCTAATGTGATATTAGATGAAGAAGAAGATAAAAGTGCCCTGTTTTATAAGGACTCCTGTAAAAACTGTGCTTGCCCATGGCCATCTTACCGCCAGCAATTTAAGAGACTGCAAAAATGTCACCTTACATACCAATCTCAGCCCTGAAGAGACAGAGGTTCTCCTCTTTTGAACAATAAAATCTACATAGTGTTCCTAGATCTGCCTGGTTAAAGCTACTTGATCCACATCCTCCTCCGCCGTCTAAATTGGGCCAGTGGGTCGAAAGCAGTGGAGCCTTGTGAAAAAGAATCACTAGTTTGCATGACTGTGGGCAGTCTCTATCAATCAGAAACACAATGCTTAGAGGGAGAAACTGAGGCTCTGATATTCAGCCACTCTCTCCTGGAGGAGCAGCTGAGTAGAACCGGTGTCTCAAGTAATGACGGGAATCATTTTATTAAAATGGATCAAATGATACTTTGCCGTTCTTGCTGACAGTCATCTCATAACTGAAGTTTATGTTTATATGATTTTGTTTATTCCTTCGAATGATACTTGGCAATATAATACATTTGGCACCAGCTACACAACACTCTAAAAATTTGTTTTTCAGGTAGTAGAAAAAAAATGTGCTTCATGTGCTCAATCAACTGGTTTTATTCACGTTAAAAATAATAATAATAATAATAATTTATCTTTTTATTTAATTTGAAAACCGATTGTTCCTCTCCATGACCATTTTTTTTTACAGTTTTGAATACGCAGTATTTTATATTTATGTGATTTTGCTTACTCCTCCAAATTATATATATATATATACAGTATATGTGCTATTTACCAATATAACAACTTTGGCACCAGCTACACTCTAAAAACCTTTTTTTATTATCATTATTAATTTATTTTTTATGTGCTTCATGTGCTCAATCAACTAGTTTTATTCAAGTACAACGATTCTATGTCTTAAGTTTATTTATTTGTTTGTTTGTTTATTTGCTTACTTGTTTTGAAAACTGCCTGTTCCTCCCCATTTTTATTTTATTTCTTTTATTTCTTCCCCATGCTTTTTTTATTTATTTATTTTTTATTGAACGATTTTGAATCCTCATAATATTTATTTAATCGAATTATATTGAATATTTTAATATGACTATGATTTAATATGAGTCAACCTGACTTTATAAGTTATACGAACAAAAGTCGTTTCTAAGATTCAGGTCAAATAGAAATAGTTGCTAGAAGTACATAGTGAAATATTTGTTCCTGTTCTAGCTTTATTTTTATTTTCATTATGACTCCATTGGTGATACTAGTGATTGAAATAGTACACACTTATGTTTTCACTTTTTATAGTGTTTAAAATAAGACATTTGAAATGTTTTTCATTTTAAAACACATACAGTTGCAGGTCCAGAGCTCCTGATGCGCAGGAACAAATATTCTAAAATGAAGTCTCCTGTTCCTTCCTGAAAGCCTGAAGCCACTGCCTTCTCAGCTTGACTGTTGTGTGTTTGTGTGTCTGTGTGTGTATTTTAGCAGACACAACGCCGCGTGACCTTTCACCTTCCGGACGGCTCTCAGGAGAGCTGCAGTGACAGCGGGCTTGGAGAGCAGGAGCCCAATAGCGGTGCCAGCACCACCCAGCCTCTGCCCTTGGGCTTCCCTCAGGAAGAGTACTATGAACAGACCTCACCGAACAGCCGCACTGAGGGTGACGGCAACTCTGACCCCGAGTCCAGTAAGTACTAACCGCTGTCCTTTACCAGCACATTTTCAGCAGCTGAGCAGGCAAAAGGCAGAGGACACAACTGTGACGGCCTCCATGCCGCCTAGGCTGATAAACTGCTAAGCAATGTTGTTATTTAACGTATACACAGGTTTTTAATTCTTCATCTATGAAAACATTCAGATAAGTGTCTTTGACCATTGCGTCACATCTTTCTCGCACTTTGATATATGCATTACTGTTCAAAAGTTTGGGGTTGGTAAGATTTTTTTTTCCCTTATGCACAATGAGGCTGCATTTATTTGATTGAAAACAAAGTAAAAACGGTAGTATTGTGAAATGTGATTACAATTTAAAATAACTGTTTTCTATTTGAATATATATATTTCCATATGTAATCTATTCATGTGGTGGCAAAGCTGAATTTTCAGCAGACATTACTCTGGTCTTCAGTGTCACATGATCACTTTCTTTCTTTCTTTCTTTCTTTCTTTCTTAATGTTGAAATCAGTTAATACTAGTTCATATTTATCATTTTTGTAAAAAACATGATTTTTTTTTTTTGATGAATAGCACAAAAGAACAATGTTTATTTGAAAATATTTTGTTACATTATAAATTTTAATGTAAAAAAAAAAAAAACTTCCTGACTCCGGACTTTTGAACTAGTGTGCGTGTGGATGGATGGATGGATGGATGGATAGATAGATAGATAGATAGATAGATGGATAGATGGATGGATGGATGGATGGATGGATGGATAGAGATAAACAGCACCTGATTAAACAACAGTATTAATATCCATCCATTTCCTCTATTTTGTTTTTGGAAAACAACAAAAGAAAATGAAAATAAGATAACTTAAAGAATAACTGTAACTAATTTTGAAGATTACTGTTTTGTCAGTAAACATAAAAAATAATAATGCATAGCTACTATGAACCTGAACTCTCCATAATGTTCTTATCTTGCGAATGAATCAGCACTGTGTATTTCCACACAAGTTTTGAGTTTCATGCTTCAAATCAATGGACGTACTCCTGTTCAAATGCTTTCTATTCATTTAGATCTGATCCAAGAAATCTCAGTTTTTTTCCCCTAGAAATATTTTTGATTTGGATTGTTTTTCAGTCTGCGCTGGTGCAGCATCAGAAATGCACACAGTTTATAGGGCACATTGCTGCTAAGTGAACATTATGCTGCCCTCTGCAATAGTGCTTTGCGGAGCAAATAATGCTTGTTTAGGAAGGGTGTTTATTTGCTCAAGTTGTTACTGTTTAATCAGGCGTAAAAGAGCTGGTTAGTATTTACTGCTGGGCTACTCTATATTGCACAGCCATTAGTCTGACCGACTGGTCTTTGTGAATGTAAGCTTAGTAGATCTTCTTCATCCTGCTGCATATAAAGCAGTCATTGTGTTTGATTCTCGCCGTGACCCGGGGAGGTAAAGCCCTTGTATCTCAAACACTGTAGGACGGTCCGGTGCGGCTGGCAGATCCTGTGATCAGCACAGGGTCTCTTCATCTCTTTCTGGCTTACACATCAATAATATGGCTGAATTATCATAAAATTATTCATGTTGTTTATGGCAAAACAATTTTGAGAGAAAAAAAAGCACAGGAGTAAAATAAATTGGCTTGTGTACACCTGCAGATATCCTCTCTGTCTGGTCCATAAATGAGACAATAGCGTCTCTGACTGAAGCACAAATGTCTTTCAGTTCTGCAGTGCAGCAGAGCTATGACACTCACAGTGTTGTGTAAGAATGAATGCATTTCTTCAGCTCTACTCCTGCCAAGCTATTTACATACACATGGTGGCCAGTCTTTGCTCTTAGATTAGCTGTTGTTGAACCAGCCTGCTGTCTCTGATAATGCAGCGTGTTCTCTCAAACTGAGCCGTATCCTTAAGTGTATATGCATTTAAATGTATGTACTGTATGTGTGTGTGTGTACTTTATATATGAGACATTCTTTTTTAATTTTCTGATTATATAATTATTTTTAAATGAGCAGCATTTATCTAGAACAATATGTATATTGGGGCGACAGAATTAAAATTAAGAATTAATTTACATTAAACACTAAGCTAATAAAACTAAACAACAATGCAATGTATGCACGTTAATTAAAAACAATTTAATAAACAGCCCTATTTAACTAAATCTTTATTTCACTGCAAAAAGGAAGATGTGAAATGCCTTGTTCAGTTTGAGTTTCTGGAACAACACTTGAGTGATGATTCAACTAAATCACTGAACTGTTGAACCGGACACTGAAATGTTGAAGATGAACCAGGTGAATCAGAAGAATGTGTGATTTCAAGGGTTAGTTTTCCCAAAAAAATTACAATTCTGTCATCATTTACTCACCCTCATGTCATTCCAAACCTCAAGACTTTTGTTACTGAATGATAATTAGCAGATTTTTCATTTGTGGGTAAACTCTCCCTTTAAGAGAGAGATATTCTAGTAAAACATGTTTGATTATTACCAAACTGTGTGCACAATAAATCGCTTGATTATTACCAAACTGTGTGCACAATAAATGTGACAAAAATAGTATTTTGTCACACCACACCATACTTTTAGCAGTGTGTATATATATATATATATATATATATATATATAT